CTCAAGGGTGAGTTGAGTGTGAGTGCCGATAAACTGGCGACTGCTATTTCTGAAGCGGCGGTTTTGGAAGATACCCTCTCTGTTTATAGGTCGGAGATGACTAAGGAGAAAGAGGCATCCACGCTTAAGGTAGCAGGGCTTGAGGGGCGTGTTAAGGAGTTGGAGGTGGAGCTATCCGCGTTGACCGGACAAGTGGAATCACTGAGAATGGAGGACACGCGTCGACACTCGCAACCTTCTACGTCTCGTGCTTCGGCCGATCCTATCGTGCACTGTCGTTTATATGAGTTGTGGGTTCACGCTGAGGCCCAACTTGATGTGTATGAAGCCCTTCACGCCGACGGGAGGTCATCTGAAGTAGAACTTCAGGATATGCGTGCCAAAGCTAGGGCAGCTTGTGAGGCATGTGGATACGACCCGCTTACGCCTGACGGAGATGATATCAACTCTGATGATGCGAACCGTCTTGCCTCTGACTCTTGGTACGAAGATGTGTATGCTACCATGGATGATGTGTAATTTTTGGTTTGTACTTACTTTTGTTTCAGGATTTTTGTAAGGGCGTCTTTGAGCCCATTGTAAAGATAGGTGCTGGTAATATTTTATTGTAATGAAAAAATTGTTTTGTCGATTCGGTGGCAATCTTTGTTATATTTTTGTTGATTCGAGCGATGTCGAACCCTTTTCTTTGGCGATAGCCTTAGCCATCGGAATGTTACTTTCGAGCTAATATCGAAGTAGTATCCCGTCGTAGTTCGAGTAAAGTCGAACTTGTATCTTTGTCGATGGCCTTAGACATTGGGATGTTACTTTCGAGCTGGCGTCGAAGTAGTATCCCGTTGTAGTTCGAGTGAAGTCGAACTTATATCATTGTCGATAGCCTTAGCCATTGGGATGTTACTTTCGAGCTGGCGTTGAAGTAGTATCCCGTCGTAGTTCGAGTGAAGTCGAACTTATATCGTTGTCGATGGCCTTAGCCATTGGGATGTTACTTTCGAGCTAGTGTTGAAGTAGTATCCCGTCGTAGTTCGAGTGAAGTTGAACTTATATCGTCGTCGATGGTCTTATCCATTGGGATGTTACTTTCGAGCTAGTGTTGAAGTAGTATCCCGTCGTAGTTCGAGTGAAGTTGAACTTATATCGTCGTCGATGGTCTTATCCATTGGGATGTTACTTTCGAGCTGGCATCGAAGTAGTATCCCGTCGTAGTTCAAGTGAAGTGGAACTTATATCGTTGTCGATGGCCTTAGCCATTGGGATGTTACTTTCGAGCTGGTGTCGTGGATGCTAGTTTCATTCATAGATTGGAGATTTGATTATATTCCTGTAGGAATACATGTTGACTTTGTACATATAATGAAGATTTGGCTATCTATACCCAGTCCCTTCATTACTCGGCCTGGAGATCACGTCGACGGGCGGGGTAATGAACAACACTTCGGACCTCGAGACGTCTCCCTTGTCGCCTCATTAAAAACCTCACCAAGAAAACCTGATTGGGACAAAACCTGGATGAGGGAAAAAGAGTACGACTTAAGTGGCGCCTCTTTTTAGAAGTGGAAGTATTTGAGATGGGCAACATTCCATTTGTTTTGGAGTAGTTTTCCTTCCATTGTCTCTAATTGGAATGCTCCTTTATTTGCTGCTGCCGTGATTTTGTATGGCCCGTCCCAGTTTGTTCCCAGTTTTCCCTTATTAGGGTCTTTCTTTGCTTGTGTTTTAGCTTTGAGAACGTAGTCTCTGACTTTGAGTGGTCGTACTTTGGCCTTCTTGTTATAGTACCTTTCTGCTTGTTGCTTTTGGGCTACCATTCTTACGTGAGCCATATATCTTTGTTCTTCGACTTCATCTAGGTCTTTTAGCCTACTTTCATCGTTACTTGGTCCTCTTTCGTTGGAGTATCTCAGACTAGGTTCTCTGACTTCGACAGGTATAACCGTGTCAGTCTCGTAGACTAGTGAATATGGCGTCTCGCCTGTGCTAGTTTTTGGCATGGTGCAGTATGCCCATAGTACTTCTGGCAGCAGTTCAGGCCATAGCCCTTTGGCGTCCTCGAGCTTCTTTTTCAATATATTCAATATCGTTTTATTGGAGGATTCAGCTTGGCCATTGCCGGCGGGATGGTATGGTGTGGAGAGTATTCGTTTGATGTGCCATTTTTCAAAAAACTCGGTTGTTTTCTTTTCGACGAACTGAGCTCCGTTGTCACAACTGATTGCTTTGGGAATGCCGAAGTGACATATTATATTTTTCCATATGAACGCAATAACTTCTTGCTCACGTATTTGAGTGTATGCACCTACTTCCACCCATTTAGAAAAATAGTTAGTTAAAACCAAAAGGAAGCGTCCCTTACCTCGTCCTGCTGGGAGGGGTCCGACAATATCCATCCCCCACTTTATGAATGGCCATGACGAAGTGACGGAATGTAGGAGTTCTCCTGCTTGGTGTATCATAGGGGCATATTTTTGGCACTGTTCACATTTCCTGACGTAGTCTGCGGCTTCTTTTTTCATGGTAGGCCAGCAGTATCCTACACGGATGAGGCATCTGACGAGGGCACGATTTCCCGTATGGGCGCTGCAGTGCCCCTCATGTACTTCTTCTAGTACCCGCCTTGTTTGATTTGGACCAAGACATTTAGCCAGGGGGCCGCCGAATGTCCTTTTGTAAAGATCATAGTTTACGAGGCTGTATCTGACCGCCTGTATTTAGAGCTTTTTGGCTTCTTTCTTATCTTGTGGGAGCGTCCCTTCCTGCAAATATGTTACGATACGGTTGCGCCAATCCCAAGTTAGGTTTATAGAATGTACCTCAACTTGGTCTATTGAGGAATGGAGAAGGGTGACCACATTTTCCTTGTTGATATTTCTGGTGGCTACCGCTAGCTTGGAGAGACCGTCCGCTTCGATATTATGCACCCTGGGTATCTGGTCGAGGCGACATTCGTCGAATTCTGGTAGCAGTTTGTGAATTTTTGACTGGTACTTTTGTAGTCTTTGTTCTTTAATTTGGAAAGTCCCAGTGACTTGGTTCACCACGAGTTGAGAGTCGCAATGGAGGATGAGTCGTCGAGCACCATATTTGAGGGCTAATTTCAATCCTGCAATAACAGCTTCATACTCGGCCTCGTTTTTAGTCATCTCGGGGCACTGTGTGGACTGGCAGATTACTTTGCCCGTAGGGATTTCAAGGACGAGTCCCATTCCTGATCCCGATGCATTAGATGCGCTGTCGGTGTAGAGGACCCAGAGGTTAGAATGTGCGGAAGCGCGAACCGCTTCTTGCTATACTTTAGGCAATATTTCCGCGCTGAAATCGGCGCTGAAATCGGCGAGCACCTGCAACTTTATAGCAGTTCGCGGTTGATATATTATATCGTGCTCGCTTAATTATATGGCCCATTTTGCCAACCTACTCGATAGTTCAGGTTTGTACAGGATGCCCCTGAGGGGGAAGGTCGTCACCACCTTTATAGGGTGACATTGAAAATATGGTCTAAGCTTTTGTGAAGCTACAACTAACGCTAGAGCTAATTTCTCAAGGTGAGGGTACCTTATTTCGGCATCAATTAAGGTTTTGCTAATATAATAACTTGGAGATTGCGTACCTTTGTTTTCACGGACCAAAACTGCACTTACCACGACTTCGGAGACTACTAGATATACCAGGAGGCATTCGCCAGGGTCTACCTTGACAAGTAGTGGCGGGGAGGACAAGTACGCTTTCAGTTTTCTTAAGGAGTTGGCGCATTCTGAATTCCACTACAGTCCGTGATCCTTCCTTAGTACGTTGAAAAATTTATGGCACCTGTCCGGCGATCGTGATATGAATGTCAATTTCTGTACCTGCTTTTTGCTGGTTAATGTCTCAGGTATTCCTTCGATGGCCTTGATCTGATCCGGGTTGACCTCGATACCCCTTTGCGACACTAATAAACCGAGGAACTTAGTTGAGGTTACACCAAAGGTGCACTTATCAGGATTCAATTTCATTCCGTATCGCCTTAATATTTTGAAGGCTTTCTTCAGATGACCAATGTGGTCCTCCTTCCTTTCCGATGTCACTAGTATGTCGTCGATGTAGACCTCCATAGTCTTGCCGAGTTGTTCTTTGAACGTTTTGGTGACTAACCTTTGGTACGTCGCCCCTGTGTTCTTAAGTTAGAATGGCATGACTCTATAGCAATACATTCCTTGGTGAGTGATAAAAGTAGTTTTTTCTTGGTCTTCTTCTGCTATTAGGATTTGGTTGTAACCAGAATAGGTGTCTAAGAAGCTTAATAGTTCGTGCCCTATCGTTGCATCAATGAGCTAGTTGAGGTGTGGTAATAGAAAGGAATTTTTTGGGCATGCTTTGTTTAGGTCGGTGAAGTCGACACATATCCGTCACTTCCCGTTCTTCTTTTTTACCATGACCACATTGGCGACCCACTGAGGATACTTTGATTCTCAGATGGAACCATTAGCGAGCAACTTATCGACTTCTTTACTGACTGCGTCATTGATTGCAATGTTGAACTTTCTCCTCATTTACCGCACAGGCTGGTGAAAAGGGTCGACATTCATCCTGTGTGTGGCGATGTCCCTTGGGATTCCCGACATATCTGAATCGGAAAAGGCAAACAAATCAGCATTGTTAGTTAAGAACTCATGGAACTTACCTAGTTCTGAGAGGTTGTGCCTGATATAAGCTTTTTTCATGCTGTCAGTGATGTCCAATTAAATGGGGTCGAGGTCTTCTATGGTTGCCTTGCAGGCTTCTACAACATCTGGGTCTTTGATGGCTTCTATTTGTATGTCGGGTTTGGTTCCCGATATGGCTGACTGCTATGCTTCCGCACTTGCCCCCTTTAGTTGTTGGGTGTGTGTGCAATCTTGGGCGATTCGGTAGCATTCTTGGGCGGTGCATTGCTAGCCCTGGATGCTGAATATTCCCCATAGGGTAGGAAATTTGATTACTTGATAGAAACTTAACGAGATGACTCGCATGAAGTGTATTCATGGATGCCCTATGATAGCGTTGTAGGCTATATCCTGGTTCATGACATGAAACGTCATTTCCAGAGTGACTCCTCCTGCCAGAACTGGCAGCACTATCTCTTCAGAGGTTCGTTCCACTACATTATTAAAACCCGTCAGTGTTATGTAATGCGATACTATCTTATCCTCGAGTCTCATCTGTATGAGGACTCGTGGGTGAATAATACACGCACCGCTTCCGTCATCTACCATTATTCTTTTTACATCGGTATTCGCGATACGTAATGTTATAACCAAAGCATCATTGTGAGGAAAAGACAAACCGTTGGTATCTGACTTATCGAAGATGATACTATCTTTGAGGTCATCGTACCGGTCGTGAGCGACTGTCGGCTTGAGTTTGTGTGTGGTAGTGAATTTCACTTGGTTGATTACCGCATCATCGCCACCTCCAATGATCATTGGTATGTTGTGAGCTGGTGAAGGCGGTTTTGGGGGTCCTTGAGGTTGATCGTGTCCACGAGCAAAGTTAACCCTTCCTCGATCTCTCAGCAGTTCTTTTAGGTGTCCCTGGTTTAGCATTCTTACCACTTCCTGTCGTAGACCGATGGAGTCTTCGGTCTTATGTCCTCTTTCCTGATGGAATTCACATAGAACATTTGATCTCCGGGTGCTCGTATCTGACTTCATCTTTTGCGGCCACTACACCCTTGTGCCGAGATTTTCTAGTGCATACACTATTTCTTAAGGAGAAACGCAAAAGTTATGAGCAGATAACAGTGGAGGCATACCTATTTCGTTTCGGTGTGGCACGATGTGTCGAGGCACGATGTTTGCATGTCCTGGAGGAGGCGGGATGGATGCCCGGATGTAGGGCTGATGCCTTTCTTGATTGAAACGGGATAGTTGATCCCTTCGACCATCATTGCAGTGATCTCTCCTTGTTTCGGTTTGGACGAACGTTAGCCGTTGGATCGGACCATTTAAGTCTTCCTCATCTGCCCTTACTTCGGCACAATAGGCATTATGGATTTCTTCCCATGTGGTGGGAGCGTATTTCATGAGCCTACTTAGCAGTTATTTGGTTGCTTTCGACCCGCTTCTATTTAACCCATTTTGGAAGGCTGCTACCGCCATCACCTCTGATACGTTCGGTAGGATCATTCTTACCCTGTTGAATCAGGCTAGGAAATTCCAAAGTCCTTCGCTTGTCATCTGCCTAACGGTGAAGATGTCATTTACCCTAGCTTCTGCCTTTTTTGCTCCCGCGTGAGCGGTGACGAATTTATCTGCTATTTCTTTGAACGTTGATATTGACCGTGCCAGTAGTTGGGAATACCATGTCAGCGCTCCCCCTGTCAGGGTTTCGCCGAACTTTTTTAGCAGCACCGATGACACTTGTTCTTTCGACAGATCGTTGCCTTTTACTGCAGTGACGTAGTGGATTATGTGATCTTCCCGGTCCGTGGTGCCATCATATATTTTCAAGTATGGCGACATTTTGAAGGTTATTGAAATAGAGTGAGGGGCTGCCCCTTCACTGTATGGTTGCTCGACGAATCAGCCTATGTTACGTTTTGGTAGCAACTTCGGAGCGCCCGGTATTTTATCGACCCTTTCTTGATGCTCCTTCATCTGATCACGGAGCATTTTGTTCTCATTTTCCATTTTCTTTAAGATGACCGCAAGTGGATCGTTACCAGCATCAATGACAGTATGAGTGTTACCTGTGCGTGGAGTTTCTGGTTCATCGACGACAATTGCGATTTTGCGTGTATTGTGCCTCCGATATCCCTTTGAACGGGTTTGTCCGAGTATGTTGCTCAAGGTGTTTGTCAGCCACTCTTCTAATAGCCTTTCACATCCGGTGGTGCTTCTTCTGCTACGGATGTTGAGGTTTCCCTCTCGCACGAGACAGTCATGCTTTCGTGCGGGGGAGGGGGGGTGAGGTATCTCCCTCAGGTGTAGCGCTTGGCATTGCATTTTCATTGTCTTTCCTGCCGGCTTCGTTGATGGAATCCAGAAGATTGTTCGTGACACCTACTATTGCCTTTAATCTTGCTTCCCCCTTTCCTGCCATTGTTGGTCTTTGCGAGGCTAAGAAGAGTGATTATCCCTTTCAAGGATCTAGATGAAACTAAAATCTCAGCTAAAGAAATCCCCACAAACGGCGCCAAATTGTTTGACTCAAAAGATATTGGAACCTTTTTGAATAAATCAATTAAAGAGAATGAAGGGGTAAATCTTTACTAAGTATAATAAACTCTAGAACAAAAGGTGTAAAAGATGAACACAATGGATAATGTTTCTTGATCTTGCGAAAATGAGTGATCGAACGTTAAGAATGCCAGTCTCTTATGTAGCAAAGTATTACAGTTAGTGTTCTTAGTTAAAAAAGCAAAAAGCCCCTTTCACAAGGTTTTTTTTCCTGCTATATATAAGGGACAAACCCCTTCTGAACCCTAGAAGGCATATCATAGGGAATATTCGAAAGTATATTCCTAGTGCCCCCTGTTGGGCCTACACTATTGTAAAAGTGATGCATCCTCTGTTCGCTGTCTGTCATCCTCCATAGAACGACGAGCTATGAAGATCTCGTTGTTTGTCGTATTCGCCAATAGTCGTGGTCATCCAAATTTCGACCCATATATAAAACAAACCAATAAAAGAGAAAACTGCCACAAATGCACACTAATTCACATTTAAGCGGTGTCAAAAAAAATTAACCTCCACATCCACCACAACCATCACCTCCACAGCCACTACCATCACCGCCGCAACAACAACCCTGGTGCGCACCACTACTGTTACTACTCACCACTGTCGTCGTTGCTGCTACACCAGCGACAGCGGCTCCAGCGCCGGCCAAAACAACCATACGACCGTCTTTTAATCTGCGACCAACACTGGGGTTCCTCGCACCTATTTCAACATCGCCAGCTCCTTTCTTCTTCTGCTTTTCTCTGTAGCTCAGCACAAAAATACCAAAAATAGGATCACAGAACTACACACTATGAACGCAATGTAGGCTGACTCCATACTAAGTATATATGCTTGTCGACTAACTACTTTAAAGGCTATATTTATAGTAAAGCCACCGTCCGATTACGATTGATCATTGTTTTTTCTCTCAGGTGCAACATGAGGAATTGTTCATACCCTATTGCCTTACTTTTTAAGTACTTGAGTGTAGCCCGTGGTTGAGCCAGATTTTCATTAAAAGATGTCAAAATATAAAGAAATCAATATAGAAAGAAATCAAACAAATATATATAGTAATTTTCCGGTGAACGTCGACATTATTTTATAATTAAGAGTCGCTTCGCCTATCCTTAGGCTCTTCACGGGGGTAAAACTACGTAACCCTGATCACCCTTTATCGAAAAATTACACGATAATATATAGATAAAATATTAAATTTTAGTGGTATAACATATATTGAATACCTTTTATCGGAGATTTTATTTTACTTCTTTCAAGTTTGAACACCCTACATGAAATTCTTGACTTCGCCAAACACCACTTGCTCTTCATAATCCTTAAATCAAATGACCAGCGCTTTATTAGAACTTTTCGTTTCATTTTTGGTTTCTTTGGACTCCAGTCTTACGCCTCTACTTCGACTTTTAATGATGTTCTTTTATTTTGTAGGTTTGACTAATTAGGAGTTTTACTTGGTCTACAGAATCTGAGCTCATATTTGGCTGGTCGATGCATGACTTCTGATTATTATTTTATTACTACCTTTCTTTCCAATTCGATTTGCGTGTCAGCCAAACAAACTATATTTGGTGATGGAAGACTAAACGTAGATGCTACCTGATCTCCATGTCATACAATATCCTGAAAAAGATGTCCTAATCATGACAAAATCAACAAAATCTTGATTGAAAAAGAAGAAGTGAGATTTGACATAATAATTTTGAGACTTGAAAAAAAGTAATTTTTGAGTTAAGTTGAAAAAAAAGATATTTAAAAATTAAAATTGCATTCTTTTTGAAACAACCATCATCTTAATTATTCAAATCAAAATTTAAAGTATCTACAATAAAGGATGGAGGGCTAGCATTCCACTCCACCGAGCCTGACATAAAATTAGTCACTCGTGCTAATGCATGAGCAACCTGATTCGCAAACCTTCGAACAACAGACAAAGACAGAAACTGAAAACCTTTTAAGAGGTTTTTACAATCAGAAATCACGTCAGATAAATACGAGTAAATATCTTCGGCCTTCTCAAATGCATTCTTCACAAATAGACTATCCATCTCGAGCTCTATCTTGGTGTCTTCGTAGTGAATTTTCAGCCAACTAAGAGCTTCCTTTACCGCCAATGCCTCTGCCATCATCGGACAGAATGTTGCTCCTATATATGTCGATCTACCTCTCAAAAACTCACCGTGCCTATCCCAACAACCATCCCTGCTCCAGCTTCACCAGTTGCAAGGTTGAAGGAAGCGTCAATATTGTACTTGAGGGCTAAACCATCTGGGGGTTTCCACTTTTGATTCTCCTCGTTATCCTGCCCATGTGAACCATATGGCGTGCGTAATTGGCGCCATTCTGATGAAGCTAATAACTTTATCTAGTATGCGATCCACCGTACTCGTTCTTTGGTTTCAGATTACACCATTTTTATAGTTCCAAATCTCCCAGCATATCATGATTGCTTCTTCAATCTCCTTCTTGTTCAATGTATGATTAAGCTTGTTAAACCACTGCTCCATATTCAAAATTGTTTCTGTCCATCCCACGTGAGATTGCAGCCAGCATGCCTTAGCTATGGTGCAATTAAGGAGGCAGTGCTCGATGGTTTCGGGGTGCTGCCAGCACAATGGACAAGTTGCATTATTCATCACATGTCGTCTGGTCAAGTTATCACATGTTAGGAGCACATTGTTCATCGTTCTCCACATAAAGTTTTTTTTATCTTTGGTGGGGTTCACAGCTGCCACAATGATTGCCAAAGTCGTCGGCGACTTGCCTCAATTTCATGTCCGACTTGATCATAAAGTCTCATGTAACCTCCACGGACTGTATACATGCCCTTTGGATCGAACAACCACATCTATTTATCCGGCCGTGAGGTCGAGCTTAGTGGTATTTTTTGTATTAGTTCAATCTCCTGTGCATTAAACATTGTCTCCAGCTTCACTTCGCTCCATGTTCGAGTCTCCTCACATATTAATTCTGACACGACCATCTCCTCCATCCCATTATTGCGCACACTTTGAATAACTTGCAATTGCTAATATGCATTTGGACATACATTTCACTTGAAAAAATATTACAGTTTTATGAGGAAAACTATTATTTACTTTTAAAAAACTGATAAAAACTACTTTTTCAAAATTGAAACTCATATTCAAATTTTTTGAAATGCATCTTAAAAAATGCAAATAATATATAACCAAACAAATATTTTAAAGATGAGTTTCGAAAAAAAGGGAAAAAAATTCTTGTGGACAAACATGTTAGACCTTCACTGTTTTTATGTAAAAAATAAAAATCAAACAATATTTTATCTTATAAATTAATTAATTAGTTATCTGAATCATGTATACCCCCTCTCTTTCTCTCAAGTCGGAAGGAGAGAAGAATGACTCCGCAAGGAGATGTTCTTAGTCGAATGTCCTTAAAATTCACTACGAAGACACCAAGATAGAGCTCGAGATGGATAGTCTATTTGT